GGTGGATAATTAATGGGGTGGATCATGTGATGGGTCATTAATGGGGTGGATCATTAATGGGGTGGATCCCGTGATGGGTCATTAATGGGGTGGATTCCATGATGGGTCATTAATGGGGTGGATAATTAATGGGGTGGATCCCGTGATGGGTCATTAATGGGGTGGATAATTAATGGGGTGGATTCCATGATGTGTCATTAATAGGGTGGATAATTAATGGGGTGGATCCCGTGATGAATAATTAATAGGCTGGCTCCCATGATGGATAATTAATTGGGTGCATCTCATGATGGATAATTGGCTGGATCCCACGATGGATCATTAATTGGCTGGATCCAATGATGGATCATTAATTGTGTGGATCCCACGCCAGATAATTAATTGTGTGGATCCCATGATGGATTATTAATTGGGTGGATCCTTTGATGGACAGTTAATTGGCTAGATCCAATGACAGATAATTAATAGGATGGATCCTGTGATGGATCATTAATTGGGTGGATCCCATGCCAGGTAATTAACCCAGGGAAGTCAGGCATCTGGAATGAGAAATAATCCATTAATTAATTCATCAGGTAATTAATGACTCAATTACAGCCCCAAATTCCCTGAGCAGCTCCAGGTGGGATTTTTGGGATATTCAGCTGAGGGAAAGGAAGGAAAACTCCCTCAGGAATGTTTAATTTTAATTATAACATTAAATAATATTATAATTATATAATTATAGATAATTCTTTCTATTAATAAATATTTATTTAATATATAATTAATATATATATGAAATAAAACCCCAAATTTTTACTCTTAACAAAATCCATGATTCCTTTTAATTTTTCATTTCTCATTTCCCTCCCGCTTTTATTTCTTTAATTAATTCAATCCCAAGGATTTGGGGGAATTTGGGATTTTTTGGCCGATGATGTTTTTTGGTGAATTTTCTGCTATTTCAGCTGCAATAATTTGAATTTTCCTGGTTTTTTTTTTAGGGATATTCCCATGCCCCTGGTCAGCTCCGGGGTGGAGCACGGGAACCTGCGGGAGCTCGCCCTGGCCAGGATGAAGGACCTGGGCACTGAGGTAAAAAAAAATTCATCCAAAAATCAATTTATAATCCTATAAAACGCATTAAAAACCATTTCTATTTATTTCAACAAAATACTTTAAAATTGTTGTGAGAAATAACAAATCATGAGGCAAAAAAAACCCAAAAAAAGCAGATTTTGCTTTAAAAAACCCCCAAAAAACCCCAGATTTTGCTTAAAATAAAACCTAAAAACCCAGATTTGCCTCAAAAAAAAATTAAAATAATCAGATTTTACTTTAAAAAAATTCCCTTTTTCCCCCCATTTTTCCCTTTTTTTAGGTTTGGGGTTTTTTACCATTTTTTCCCATTTTTCCCCTTATTTTTTTCCTTTTCTCCCATTTCCCCCTATTTTTAGCTCATTTTTTCCCATTTTCCCCATTTTTTTTCATATTTTTCCAATTTCCCCATTTTCACCCATTTTTTCCCCAATTTCCTCCATTTTTCACCCTTTTCCCCCATTTTTTCACCACTTATTCCCATTTCTCCCTAATTTTTTTACTTTTCTCCCCATTTTTCCCTTCTTCCCCATTTTTTCCATTTTGCCCTTTTCCCCCCTTTTTTCCATTTTTTCCCATTTTTCCCATTTCCTCCATTTTCACCCATTTTTCCCCATTTTCCCCCTATTTTTTCGCCCATTTTCCCCCTCATTTTCTTGCCCATTTCTCCCCCCATTTTTTCCCATTTTTTTCAATTTTTTCACCCATTTTTTCCCATTTCCCCCCCATTTTTCTCTTTTTCCAATTTCCACCTTTTTTCCCATTTTCCCCATTTTTAAATATTTTTCCAATTTCCCCATTTCCCTCCATTTTTCTCCATTTCTTCCCGTTTTTCCCTGATTTTTTTTCCTTTTTCCCCCATTTTTTCCACATTTTTCCCATTTTTTCCAATTTTTACCATTTTTCTGCCCATTTTTCCCCATTTTTTCCATTTCTCCCCCATTTTTCCCCATTTTCCTCCTTATTTTCCCCATTTTTCCCATTTCCTCCATTTTCCCCCCATTTTTTCACCCATTTTTCCCATATTTTCCCATTCCCCCCACTTTTTTCCCATTTTTCCCACTTTCCCACCATTTCCCCCCCATTTATTCCCATTTTCCCCATTTTTCCTCATTTTTCCCCATTTTTCCCCCCATTTTTCCCATTTTAAAAATTTTTTTCACCCATTTTTTTCCATTTTCCCCCATTTCCCCCCATTTTCCCATTTTTTCCCATTTTCCCCATTTTTTTCATATTTTCTCATTTTCTCCATTTTCCACCCATTTTTTCCCCATTTCCCCCATTTTTCCCCCATTTTCTCCCATTTTTCCCTGATTTTTTGCCCTTTTTTCCCATTTTTCCCTTTTCCCCCCATTTTTTCCCATTTTCCCATTTTTTCCCATTTTTCCCATTTCCCCCAATTCCCCCCCATTTTTTCCCTTTTTTCATCCATTTTTTCACCCATTTTTTCCCATTCTCCCCCATTTTTTCCCCATTTGTTCCCCTAAAAAAACACCCAAATCCCATAAAAAAAACCCAATTCCCCAAAAAAATACAAATCCCCATCCAAAAAAATCCCCAAATCCTCCAGAAAACCTCAAACCCTAAAAAAATATTTGGGATTTTTTGAGGAAATATTTGGGATTTCTGGAATGGGTTTTTTGGGATTTCTGAGAGGGAATAATTAAGATTTTTGGGAGGGATATTTGGGATTTTTTGAGGAAATATTTGGGATTTCTGGGAGGGGATATTTGGGATTTCTGGAACAAAATATTTGGGATTTTTTGAGGGGATATTTGGGATTTCTGGAACAATACATTTGGAATTTTTTGAGGAAATATTTGGGATTTCTGGAAGGGGATATTTGGGATTTCTGGGATGGGATATTTGGGATTTTTTGAGGGGATATTTGGAATTCCTGGAACAAAATATTTCGGATTTCTGGAGGGATATTTGGGATTTCTGGGAGGGATATTTGGGATTTTTGGGATTGAATAGTTGGGATTTTTTGAGGGGATATTTGAGATTTTTTGTGGGAATATTTGGAATTTTTGGAACAAAATATTTGGGATTTTTTGAGGGGATATTTGGAATTCCTGGAACCAAATATTTGGGATTTTTTGAGGGGATATTTGGAATTTCTGAGAGATTTTTGGGATTTCTGGGATGGGTTTTTTGGGATTCGTGGAACGAAATATTTGGGATTTCTGGAGGGGATATTTGAGATTTTTGGAACGAAATATTTGGAATTTTTTGAGGCAGTATTTGGGATTTCTGGAAGGGAATATTTGGAATTTCTGACTATTTCCAATTTTCTGGAATTTCCTGGAATTTTCCGGAATTTCCCGAAATTTTCCGGAATTTTCCGTCCTTTTCCCGCAGTGCCGCGACGTGCGGACGCGCGAGGTCGGAATTCAGGAAATCCACCACAAAGTCCGGCCCTACCAGGTAAAAAATTCCAATTTTTTTTCCCCCCAAATTCCCGAGGAAATTCAGGGATCGCATCGACCAATCGCTGCCCTGGGTTTGCAATTCCTAAAATTCCCCAAATTCCCCAAAATTCCCCGGGAAAATCGGGATTTGGGAAAACCCGGCCCGGGGGGAAATTGGGATTTTTGGGTGAATTTCCAGGGATTTTGGGGCAATTGGGGTGAATTGAAATGTGGGATTTTTTGGGGGGGAAATTTGAATTAAAGCGTGTGGAAATAGAGATAAATATAGATAAAATATAGGTGAAATGTAGATTAAATATATTTATCCATGTATTAATATAGATAAAATAGACATAAAATAGACATAAAATGTATTTATATAATAATATAAATAAATATATATAATATATATAAAATATAGATCAAATATATTTATCTGGGTATTGATGTAGATAAATATATATACATAAAATATATAAAAATATATTTATCTATTAATATATATAAACATAAATAAAATATGGACAAAATATATTTATGTATTAATGCAAGTAAATATATATAAATATAGATCAAATATATTTATCTGTGTATTAATGTAGATAAATACATAGACAAAATATACATAAAATATATATAAAATATATTTATCTGTTAATATAGATAAATATAAATAAAATATGGACAAAATATATTTATGTATTAATGCAGTTAAATATATATAAAATATAGATCAAATATATGTATTAATGTAGATAACTATATAAAATATAGATTAAATAGATCTATGTATTAATACAGATAAATATCTATAAAATATAGATAAAAGATATTGATATGTGTATTAATGTAGGTAAATATATAAAAGGTATACCTATGTATTAATGTAGGTAAATATACATTAAATATAGTTATAATATATTTATCTATTCATATACATGAATATATGCATTAAATATAGTTATAATATATTTATCTATTCATATACATGAATACATAGACAAAATGTAGATAAAATATATTTATATATTGATATAGATTAATATATCTAAAATATAGATAAAATATAACTATTTAGTAATATAAATACATATAAAATACAGAACATATTTATCTGGCTAGTAATATACATAAATATATAGTTAAACTTTATTTGTCGATTAATATACATAAATATATATAATATAAAATAGAAATAAACTATATTTATAGATTAATATACATAAATATATGAAATATAAAATAGAAGTAAACTATATTTATAGATTAATTTACATAAATATACTGTAAAATAGAAATAAAATATATTTCTCTATTAACATACATAAATATATAATATAAAATAGAAATAAACTGTATTTATCTATTAATATACATAAATATATATTATATAAAATAGAAATAAAATATATTTCTCTATTAACATACATAAATATATAATATAAAATAGAAATAAACTGTATTTATCTCTTAATATACATAAATATATAATATAAAATAGAAATAAACTGTATTTCTCTATTAATATACATAAATATATATTATATAAAATAGAAATAAACTGT